CTATCTTTCTATGAATGCAAGGAAAAATGCTGAAGATACAATACGATAGTTATTGGTGTCATTTAGATAATCCAAGTCTAGAGATGGTGGTTGTAGGCCAATGGTGATCTGAAGATGGTGATTGGGTGATAATAATTAGATGATGATGATGGCTAACGATCTAGGTTGAGTTCTAGAGTTTTTTTAGATCTCCAAGCTCTTGCAAATCTCAAGTCTTCATTCCTTTCATGTGGAGAGTGATAATCAATTACTGTTATTTTTAAGTATTATGTAAAAAATTTAGTCAAAATTTCATAACACTTCATTGGAAAAACTGAATTAAACTCATTGATTACAAATCTTTCATTTAGTATTTAAGTCCATTAATGACGTCAAAATTGAATAATCTCAGACTCATTTGATTCATCTTGTCTAGTCACTCAATTTGACTATAGCATGCAAAATTCGGGAACGATTTTATCCTTCAATTAATATCTCAAAGTTTTCAATTTTATTTTTTTTACTTGATTTAAGCTCATTAAGATTTGAATCGAATCAATCAATTAGGGTTTTTCCTCTGCTGCGTGCTTGGGTCTCTCCGGCGTCCGACTCCGGTGCGTGGGCCTCCCGCCCCGCTTCGCCCGTTTTTCTCCGAGAGATCTTCATGCTGCTGATTTTTCTCTGGTTGCAGGGAAGTTCCTTCTTCCTTGGTATTATTTGTATGGTCAGGTTTTGTTTCTTTTGGCTGGGTGGCCGATATGGCCTCTAATCGACCCTTGAATCCTGGTTTTTTAGTCAAATCTAAGAAGTATCATTCATTTTTGGTTGTTTTATATGGTAAAGCGTCAGATGTTTGTTTCCCGCCTCTCAAAATGAGCTCTTTTCGGGGTTTACCTACTATTTGGATCTTTGAGGAGGAGATCACTTCTTTTGCCGCCCCTTTTCAATTTTCTCTGATGGGATTTTTTCTTTCTCGCCATCCTTCTTTAGATTTTATTCGTCACTTATTCTTCAACCTTAAGCTTACGGTTGAGTTTTCGATTACCCTGCTGGATGCGTCTCATGTATTGATTAAATTGTCTAATGACATGGATTATAGTAGGGCGTTTTGCCATCGATCTTATTTGGTGTTCAATTGTTACATGAAATTTACTAAATGGTTGCCTTCCCTGGATATTGGCGTGGAATCTCCGGTTATCCCCATCTAGGTCTCTTTCTCTAACCTTCGTCCACATCTTTTTGCTCCCAAAATCCTACATGCTTTGGGCTCGTTATTTGGTCGCCCCCTTAAAATTGATTCTGCCACTTCTGTGGGCTCGTGCTCTTATTTGGCGCGTGTTCTGGTGTAATTGGACATTATGAAATTCAAACCTGATAAAGTTTTGTTGGGGTCTGAGTAGTTGGGTTATGTTCAACATGTTCAAATAGAAATGTTTCCCCATTTCTGTGAGCTGTGTAAGGCCATTGGGTAGAAACGGGGTGAGTGTCGTTCTTCTGCTTCTGTTCCCAATCCGGTGTCTACTTCGAAGCCTTCTTCCTCTGTTTTCATTTCTGATCCGGGGGGGAGGGCTGTCCCTCAGCCTTGTGTGGTATCTGTGATTCACGCTCTTGTTCTTAGTGATTTTTTTAGTGTTAGATCCCAATACTTATAGTAAGGATAATGTTGTAGCTAATCCAGATTGTAATCCTTGTGTTGGGAATTGCGATATGGTTCCTGTTGATATTGGAAAACATTTAGCTGAAATACCTCCCCCTCCTCCCCCTGTATCTGGTGAGCTTGTGCCAGCCACTTTGATTATTCCGTTGAGTGATGCGATTAATAATTTGGATTTTATTTGCCCCCTACAGTTGTATCTTCCCCTTTTGTTGTGGCCTATTTGAAGGGTGTGTATTGTGCTTCCTATGAGTTGAATCGAATTGAGTCCCTGGACTCTTCGGGCTCAGTTCATTCTGTCTCTCACCTTAATTCGAACGCTTTGGTTGGTTATTCCTCTGCTCGTGTGGGTGTCTTTAATTTCAATTCCCCTGTCACGCCTACTGTTCTTGTTCGCGGCTCGTTATTTGATGTGCCTTCTAAATTAATTTCTCTTGAGGCTTTGTTTGCCCAAGTGGGGGAGAATGTGAGAATGCAAATTGATTGACTTCAAGCCTCGACTGATTCTTCTTCGGAGGCTAGTGAGTAGGAAGAACCTGGGGAGGATTTGTTAAGTATAATGATGGGTTTTGTTGTGGTTGGTGCTCTTTGTATGGTTAAGATTCTTGTTTTTTTGGTTGCTTGCCTGTTGGTGGTATAGTGGTGGCGATTTTCTGGTTGTTCATCGAGCTATTTCCTTTGGGCTGTGGGCTGATCTTGTTGGAAGTCATTTTGTTTTGGATGCCGCAGTTTGGCTAGAACTTAGACTAATTTTTGTGGTTGCGAATTTTAGATTGAGGACAATGATGTGGCTAGGGTTCACTTATCCTAAATCGTGGCTCGTGGCAACCTTTGGTGGTGCGTTTCTTACTTGTTTGAGTTGGCTACTTGGTGTATTACTGCTCTCTCCATTCTGGATGGCCTATGTCTGGCTTAGATGTGATTTGCAGCCTCTGTCTTTATTGAGCCTACTAGGTTGTCACCCTTGTGTTATTTATAGCTTTTTTCTTTATGTTTGTTAGTTTGTTGTAACCCCTTTTTTATTTGGAATAAATTCTATGTTAAAAAAAATATTTGAATCGAATCACCTTGATGCTATTTGGTTAGTTTTATCAAGAAATTCAGTTCAACCATAAATTAATAAAAATTGAAGAATAATTATTCTAAATTTAATTTAAAAAATTTTCAACATAAATATACGTCAAGACTTAAATCAAGTACAAAAAAAATTTTCAGAGATATGTCACTACATTTCATTGCTTATTCGGTCGGATACAAATTGAAATCCTACATTCAATATGTATTATCGTGATTTAAAATTTTTTTTTAGTGCTTTAATTTCGGCCAATTAGACTATCGAGCGGACTTCGACTATTTTTTGTTCTATTGTGGGCCTGTGGCAATTGATTTATGCTTGACTACTGATGTGAGGTCCACAACGATTGATTGGCCAGGCTTCGTCTTTGTCAACCTTTAGTGGTCAACCATTATCGCCATAGTCAATTGTGGTTCCCTCTCAGCATGTTTTGATTTTTGAAGAATAATCCGTTATTAGGGGGTATAAAATAATGTTTTAATAGAAAAAAAAATTATGAGATTGAAACAAGAATTTGAGGCATTAGCCCATTTCATTCAAAAATGAAGGAATTACGGTATGAAAAAAAATCATATGCTAGCGCAACAAACATATAGCACACAACAAAACCCTATCAACAAAAGCTGCTTAACAAGAAAAAGCTGTAAGTAAAAAGAATGAAACCAAAATCATAAGGACTCATATTGCAATAATCGTGAAGAGCTCCCTGGGAGCCAAAATCATCCAAAAGGATGTGGGGATCCCTTGGTTGCCGAATAGACCGTCCAAAGGGATGTAGAAGTTGATTGCGTTCATCATCGTCCTTCAAAACTCCATTCCTTGGTTGCCAATGAAGACCGTCCAGGAACGCCAAAAAGTCGATAAGCAGCTCAAGCGCATTCCAGTTAACCTTCAACAGCTGAAGGTCATGAATCACAAATTCTGGTGAATATGAGAGCATTTCCAGTTTGAAGTTTTATGGTAAACATCGCATTTGATTTTGGCAACAGTAGTGGTATGACAGTCAATCAAGTTGCCAAATAACCTGTTATTTCTAGCTCTAAAGATGTAGTAGACAATAGTACAAAGTAAAAGATAGCACATACTCTTCCTACTTTTATAAATTTCCCAGTCATCAATGCAGTGAAAAGCTTGCACGAGATTAGGACGCAAAAGCATGATGTTCATACAGGAAAAAATATTCTTAAGGATGTCATAGGAGTTGTCCTCCCTAATTAGAGAAGGTACATAGATATCTAGTGTGGAGAATCTCCTTTGTAATGGTAGTTGAAGAAGAATTAAGGTGTCAATATTGATAGAGAGTATAAGCATTGGTAGACATAGTGAATTATAGATGGGTGACAATGGGCATTAGTCGATAGTAGAGTTAGGTGACGAATTTTAAAAAGTGGTTGATGACAAGTGATGTGCGATGAGGGATGCCGAAGCAGAGAGATATATGGTGGCAGGCATCAGATACTGATTAGCATTGGTGATAGACAACAATGGACATCTAAAGTTAGGTGATAGAAAATGATCAGTATAGTCATTATCTTCATAAGGTATAGTAGAAGCCTAGCTAACTAGAAGAATGAATCAAATATTTATTAAAATATTTTAAAAAAACTTCAAAAATAAATCAAATACTCTTAATTTTGTATAATTATTCTACAATCCTTTTTAAATATAATATTAAAGTAACATATTCAATATATTTTTATACCTTCTATTTTTAATTATAAATATATCAAGTGTTAGAATCATATTTTATCGACAGCCTCGTATTCATATCACCTTGTAAAATTAAAGAGTAAAAATTATTTCAATATATTCTAATACAAACTATTTAATGATCAACATAAAAATCAATGAATTTACTTCAAAATTACTGTAAAAATTTCTCATATGAACAATAATCTCAAAACAAATTCAAAAACTTTTATATCGGTCTCATACACTCCATATTTAAAAAAACATTGCATTAAATGATTCTTTAAAATTCCTCATGTTTTTAATATTTAAAAATTTGGATATAAATAAATTACCTATTTTTTTAAATAATAGCATAATTAATACTTAAAATTTTAATATTGCATACATACCACTCATAGTTCACTTTTATATAAATATGAGTGATTGGAAAGAAATATGAATGACATATTTGATATTAAAACAATTTAAAGTAATATGTGTGTAATATTAAAATTTTAAATATTATATATGTAAATAGAATATTATAAAAAGGTATGTATATAATTTTTTTTTTCCTTTCATTTAAGCTTATTACTGTTACATTATAAATCGTATTGGTATAGTTGTATTCCTCTCCAGTCCGGCTCCAAACAAAATAATCTTCTTTGCTCCAGTTTCTGTTGTCTTCATAAAGCTGTTGTTTCTGAGCTCCATATCTCGCCTCTTCTCTAAAAGGATCTTTCTCTCTCTCGCGCGCGCTCCCTGCTCTATATCAGCGTCGCAGAAACCCTAGAAGAAGAATCACAGCAGGGAAGTCCTGAGGCCATGCCTCCGATATCTTCCTGCTTTAGGGGATGCACCGGAGGCGGCCCGCCGGCTGCGACGGTGACTGGACCGAGCATGTCCACTTCGATCTACGAAACCCAACTTGGTCTTGCGTCCCTGAGCTGGTCCCGTACCCTCCTCGGCCTCTCCCTCAGTGCATCCATCCACTTGACACCTTCCGCTTCCGACGATTACAACAACAATTCTCCCCTCCACTTCAAAATTCAACCCTGGCTCTTCTGGAACCGAAAGGGAACCCGCCGTTTGCACTTCAATATCGCCCACCAAAGCCACACACTCTACATCGCCTGGAACCTAACCGGAGCCCGATTTCCCTCCGCCGGCTCCCCTGAACCGTCTTCCGGCTTCTTCATTGCCGCCGCTGTTGACGGAGAGATCGTCCTCGTTGCTGGCGATATGACCGAGGAAGCCCACCGGAAGATGAAGGCGAAACTGCGATCTCCAACGATGCTGGTATCGAGGAGGGAGCACGTGGTGCTGAAAGGGATTGGCGGGAGGAGAATGGGATCTTACCGATCGGCTGTGAGGATCGGAGGAACTGATCGCGCGATCGGGATCGATATCGACGGCGGATTGTCGATAACCTTGGATGGGAAGAAGATTATCCATGTGCGGCGGCTCCGATGGAAGTTTCGCGGAAGCCAGCGCGTCGAAATGAGCGATGGTGGAGCTAGGATCTTAATCTCCTGGGATTTGCACACTTGGTTCTTCCCCGTTAGGGAAAATCCTTCCCTTGCTTCCGCAGCTATCTTTGTCTTCTGCTTCGAGAGTGAGAAAAAGCAGGATGTTTCAGGTAAGACGGCAATGGAAATCGCAGAAAACAGCGGAGGGTTAGAGAGAGATTGGGTTTCGGGGTATTTGAGAAGGAATGGGAATTGGAGTGAGAGTAGCAGCTGCGGAGGAGCAGGTGGTGTTGAGAGGGGGAAAGGGAAGAAGAAAAGCTTATTAAAAACGTGCTCCTCGTCATCGTCATTTTCTTCGGCGTCGTCGGCGGCGAGCTCGTCGGTGATAGATTGGTGGAGTTCGGAGGAGGCGGAGATGCGTGGCGTTGACGGTTTTACCCTTGTCGTTTACGCGTGGAAATGTGGAATAGCTAGCTTTGGCCGCGGCATTTGGCAATCTGGGAATTTATTTTATTTTTATTTTTTAAGGAACTCTCATTTTGTATAATTTTTTTCTCCTATTAGGTCATGAGTATTTATTTTCCAAAAACGCATAATTCGAAGGCTTATTAAATATAAACCAAGTTTAGTTTTTGGTGATTTTAAAATTTTTTTTTTTGGGACATTTAGGCCATTTAAGGCAAACTCACACACACGCATACACATAGACTCGAACCTTAGACCTCTTAGTTGGAAGCCAAAGCTCTCAACCAATAGGCCAAGGAGAGTTGTGTTGATTTTAAATTTTCACTTTGAGTACAAATGAGTAGAGTTAAGCTCCAGTACCCTACTTGGGCATGAGCTTAAGTTTAAACTTGATTAAGTAATAGAATTTTATTCAAGATTTGTCTTAATGATGTCAGAATTGATTGATCTTAGACTCTTTGGATTCGTCTCGTCGAACTGCTCGATTTAATTATAAGCATGTCAAATTTAGAGATTATTTCATCATCTAATTAATGTTTGAAGTTTTTGACTTGGGCTCATTTACGTTGGGATTAGCCATTTTGGTATTATTGAATTTATCTTATTGATATGTTCAATTTGACTGTAAGTTCCAAAACTTTCAGTTCATATGATCATGAATTTAATTCTAGAAGTTTTGAATTCAAATTTTATATCAAGATTTGAGGTCTTAAGGTTTTGGAGACATTTAGATATTTAAGGTAAATTCACATACACAATGCATACATAAAGACTCGACTTTAAGACCTCTTAATTGGAAGTCTAAGCTCTCAACCAATAGTCCAGACTCCAGAATTAGCTATATAAGAGTAATGACTTCAGAACACTGTTCCTCTCCCCTTAGAAAATTTAATGCCAATTAATAAATATATATAATATATGATTATATGTTGTGGAAGAGAAAGTGCTAAATTTTAAATTTTTTAAATATATCGAGAGCCGAAAAGGCTGACTATTTATTTATTTTTTATAGTAAGTAAAAAATAATAATTAGAGTAATTCGTACGCCCGTGACCGACTCTGTTATTGTCGTGTACCTTTAGTTTTCTGTTATATTCTTTCTGCTAATTATTTTATAAAATTTAATGGCTGTTTTTTCCTTATCGTTGGAAAAGAAATATTTTCAAGCATGAAAATTTTGACTTTACAAGTTTTATAATATCGAATATTAAGAAAAATATGTCTGCTATTTATTTATTTTATTAATATGTCCTTTTTTAGATTAAAATAACCCTATTATAGATTAAGGATAGTTCTAAACTTATAATTACTAAAATTAATTTGAATATAATTTTAATAACATTTGAATAAGCTTTGAGTATTGTTGCGTCCAGGAGTATTCGCGGCGGTAGAGAAATATAAAGTTTATCATCTTAGCGTTGTACGAAAATCCGGCACGCAATCAGATAAGAAAAAGGGTCTAGCATTTATGAGACACCAAGATTTTTATGTGGAAAACCCCTGAAAAGGGGGAAAAACCACAGGGCCTAGCCCAGTTTGAATGAATCCACTAGTATTGCAGTCGATTACAAATG